TAACAGTGACTTAAGACGGATGTAGTGCTAAGACGATGGTAACACCCATACCTTAACAGTGACCTGACTTACGACGGATGTAGTGCTAAGACGATGGTACCACCCATACCTTAACAGTGACTTACGACGGATGTAGTGCTAAGACGATGGTAACACCCATACCTTAACAGTGACTTACGATGGATGTAGTGCTAAGACGATGGTACCACCCATAGTACCTTAACAGTGACTTCACGACGGATGTAGTGCTAAGACGATGGTAACACCCATACCTTAACAGTGACTTCACGATGGATGTAGTGCTAAGACGATGGTACCACCCATAGTACCTTTAACAGTGACTTTACGACGGATGTAGTGCTAAGACGATGGTAACACCCATACCTTAACAGTGACCCTGACGGATGTAGTGCTAAGACGATGGTAACACCCATACCTGACTTACGACGGATGTAGTGCTAAGACGATGGTAACACCCATACCTTAACAGTGACTAACGACGGATGTAGTGCTAAGACGATGGTAACACCCATACCTTAACAGTGACCCTGACGGATGTAGTGCTAAGACGATGGTAACACCCATACCTGACTTACAACGGATGTAGTGCTAAGACGATGGTAACACCCATACCTTAACAGTGACTTAAGACGGATGTAGTGCTTAGACGATGGTAACACCCATACCTGACTTACGACGGATGTAGTGCTAAGACGATGGTAACACCCATACCTTAACAGTGACTTACGACGGATGTAGTGCTAAGACGATGGTAACACCCATACCTTAACAGTGACCCTGAAGGATGTAGTGCTAAGACGATGGTAACACCCATACCTGACTTACAACGGATGTAGTGCTAAGATGATGGTACATGTACCACCCATACCTTAACAGTGACCTACGACGGATGTAGTGCTAAGACGATGGTACCAGCCATACCTTAACAGTGACTTACGACGGATGTAGTGCTAAGACGATGGTACCACCCATAGTACCTTAACAGTGACTTACGACGGATATAGTGCTAACACGATGGTAACACCCATACCTTAACAGTGACCCTGACGGATGTAGTGCTAAGACGATGGTAACACCCATACCTGACTTACGACGGATGTAGTGCTAAGACGATGGTAACACCCATACCTTAACAGTGACTTAAGACGGATGTAGTGCTAAGACGATGGTAACACCCATACCTGACTTACGTCGTACGGATGTAGTGCTAAGACGATGGTACCACCCATACCTTAACAGTGACCCTGACGGATGTAGTGCTAAGATGATGGTAACACCCATACCTGACTTACGACGGATGTAGTGCTAAGACGATGGTAACACCCATACCTTAACAGTGACTTAAGACGGATGTAGTGCTAAGACGATGGTACTACCCATACCACAACAGTGACTTACGACGGATGTAGTGCTAAGACGATGGTAACACCCATACCTTAACAGTGACTTACGACGGATGTAGTGCTAAGACGATGGTAACACCCATACCTTAACAGTGACTTACGACGGATGTAGGGCTAAGACGATGGTAACACCCATAGTACCTTAACAGTGACTTACGACGGATGTAGTGCTAACACGATGGTAACACCCATACCTTAACAGTGACCCTGAAGGATGTAGCGCTTAGTCGATGGTAACACCCATACCTGACTTACAAAAGATGTAGTGCTAAGACGATGGTAACACCCATACCTGACTTAAGACGGATGTAGTGCTAAGACGATGGTAACACTTATACCTTAACAGTGACTTAAGACGGATGTAGTGCTAAGACGATGGTAACACCCATACCTGACTTTACGGCGGATGTAGTGCTAAGACGATGGTACCACCCATACCTTAACAGTGACTTGACGACGGATGTAGTGCTAAGACGATGGTAACACCCATACCTTAACAGTGACTTACTTATGGATGTAGTGCTAAGACGATGGTACCACCCATAGTACCTTAACAGTGACTTACGACGGATGTAGTGCTAAGACGATGGTAGCACCCATACCTTAACAGTGACTTCACGATGGATGTAGTGCTAAGACGATGGTACCACCCATAGTACCTTAACAGTGACTTACGACGGATGTAGTGCTAAGACGATGGTAACACCCATACCTTAACAGTGACCCTGGACGGATGTAGTGCTAAGACGATGGTAACACCCATACCTGACTTACGACGGATGTAGTGCTAAGACGATGGTAACACCCATACCTTAACAGTGACTTACGACGGATGTAGGGCTAAGACGATGGTAACACCCATAGTACCTTAACAGTGACTTACGACGGATGTAGTGCTAACACGATGGTAACACCCATACCTTAACAGTGACCCTGAAGGATGTAGCTCTTAGTCGATGGTAACACCCATACCTGACTTACAAAAGATGTAGTGCTAAGACGATGGTAACACCCATACCTGACTTAAGACGGATGTAGTGCTAAGACGATGGTAACACTTATACCTTAACAGTGACTTAAGACGGATGTAGTGCTAAGACGATGGTAACACCCATACCTGACTTACGACGGATGTAGTGCTAAGACGATGGTACCACCCATACCTTAACAGTGACTTACGACGGATGTAGTGCTAAGACGATGGTAACACCCATACCTTAACAGTGACTTACGATGGATGTAGTGCTAAGACGATGGTACCACCCATAGTACCTTAACAGTGACTTACGACGGATGTAGTGCTAAGACGATGGTAGCACCCATACCTTAACAGTGACTTACGATGGATGTAGTGCTAAGACGATGGTACCACCCATAGTACCTTAACAGTGACTTACGACGGATGTAGTGCTAAGACGATGGTAACACCCATACCTTAACAGTGACCCTGACGGATGTAGTGCTAAGACGATGGTAACACCCATACCTGACTTACGACGGATGTAGTGCTAAGACGATGGTAACACCCATACCTTAACAGTGACTAACGACGGATGTAGTGCTAAGACGATGGTAACACCCATACCTTAACAGTGACCCTGACGGATGTAGTGCTAAGACGATGGTAACACCCATACCTGACTTACAACGGATGTAGTGCTAAGACGATGGTAACACCCATACCTGACTTAAGACGGATGTAGTGCTAAGACGATGGTAACACCCATACCTTAACAGTGACTTAAGACGGATGTAGTGCTAAGACGATGGTAACACCCATACCTTAACAGTGACTTACGACGGATGTAGTGCTAAGACGATGGTAACACCCATACCTTAACAGTGACTTACGACGGATGTAGTGCTAAGACGATGGTAACACCCATACCTTAACAGTGACTCAGAAGGATGTAGTGCTAAGACGATGGTAACACCCATACCTGACTTACAACGGGATGTAGTGCTAAGATGATGGTACATGTACCACCCATACCTTAACAGTGACTTACGACGGATGTAGTGCTAAGACGATGGTACCACCCATACCTTAACAGTGACTTACGACGGATGTAGTGCTAAGACGATGGTACCACCCATAGTACCTTAACAGTGACTTACGACGGATGTAGTGCTAAGACGATGGTAACACCCATACCTTAACAGTGACCCTGATGGATGTAGTGCTAAGGCGATGGTAACACCCATACCTGAACAGTGACTTCTGACGGATGTAGTGCTAAGGCGATGGTAACACCCATACCTTAACAGTGCTGGGCGACCTACGGATGTAGTGCTAAGGCGATGGTAACACACACCATACCAGACTTACGACGGATGTATGGTAACACCCATACCTTAACAGTGACTTACTTAATGGATGTAGTGCTAAGGCGATGGTACCACCCATACCTTAACAGTGACTTACGACGGATGTAGTGCTAAGGCGATGGTAACACCCATACCTTAACAGTGACTTACGGCCGGATGTAGTGCTAAGGCGATGGTAAGGCCCATACCTTAACAGTGACTTACGGCGGATGTAGTGCTAAGGCGATGGTAACACCCATACCTTAACTTACCCTGACGGATGTAGTGCTAAGACGATGGTAACACCCATACCTGACTTAAGACGGATGTAGTGCTAAGACGATGGTAACACCCATACCTTAACAGTGACTTAAGACGGATGTAGTGCTAAGACGATGGTAACACCCATACCTGACTTACGACGGATGTAGTGCTAAGACGATGGTACCACCCATACCTTAACAGTGACCCTGACGGATGTAGTGCTAAGATGATGGTAACACCCATACCTGACTTACGACGGATGTAGTGCTAAGACGATGGTAACACCCATACCTTAACAGTGACTTAAGACGGATGTAGTGCTAAGACGATGGTACTACCCATACCATAACAGTGACTTTACGACGGATGTAGTGCTAAGTCGATGGTAACACGGATGTAGTGCTAAGACGATGGTAACACCCATACCTTAACAGTGACTTACGACGGATGTAGTGCTAAGACGATGGTAACACCCATACCTTAACAGTGACTTACGACGGATGTAGGGCTAAGACGATGGTAACACCCATACCTTAACAGTGACTTACGACGGATGTAGTGCTAAGACGATGGTACTACCCATACCTTAACAGTGACTTACAACGGATGTAGTGCTAAGACGATGGTAACACCCATACCTTAACAGTGACTTACGACGGATGTAGTGCTAAGACGATGGTAACACCCATACCTTAACAGTGACTTACAGCAGTCGTAGTATCCAGCGCTGTCTTGTCTAGCAGAATTAACCATGCAAGTGACATGCATGAGATCATTATGTTAGCTAGTAAATCTTAACTATTTAGCAAAGGAAGTTAGTGAATGTTGTTTAATGCCAAAGTAAGCAATATTTTGTGGCCAGCAGTCCATACTCAAGCCTTGACCAGACAATGAAGTGATTGACATAAAGAAACAGCCTCCCAGGTCAGACACCTCAATCCATTAAACCCCATTATGGGGGCCTTGGGACGGGGGCCTCGGGGCTGGTAGCAGATTTCTCCGTACCTTGTTCAGCAGCGTATGAGCTACCCTCTGTGGATATTCGTGGTCTCCTACGAGAACTCCTGTCAGTCCGTCACTCCTCACGTACACATGACACATATATTCTGAAACAGCAGACAATATTAGGCATCTTGACAGAGATCAATGTTTAACATTAAAGAGGACCTTGAGTCAGTGAGATTTTGATGGTATGTCAAGAGACCCCCTGAATCTTAAATCTTTAACATTGAAACGCCATTACAATAAGGATTCCCTTGACATTCATGCTTAATGTAGACCACTGTGGATCACAAAAATCAGATAAACACAACTTACACATGATACATGTTTTCAGAAAAAATGAATCATTGACATCATATAGATCATAAAGATCACCATCAAACACAGCCTGTCACTATGTTCACTCATCACAGACACTTTAAAATGTTCTCTGTAACAGTGAATGAGTGAGTTGGGTTTTACGCCGCTTTTAGCAATATTCCAGCAATATCATGGCTGGGGACACCATAAATGGGCTTCACACATTGTGCCCATGTGGGGATTTGAATCCGGGGTTGTCATTGTGACGAGCCGACGCTTTAACCATTAGGCTAGCCCACCGCCCAGCTCTGTAACAGTGAATTGCCTGGATTAAGCAATATTTCATCACAACTTTCATTCAGTTAAAGCATCTTTCACTTGTCTGAACCATACCATTTTAAAGGTATGGTTCAGACAAGGGAGTTTATGCATGACACTGGACCAAATCCTACCATTTTCCTTGACAGAAGCTCTGGAGCACACAGCTGTCCTCTCAGCAATAATCTTACTGGTGAAATCCATAAACTCTTTGATGCTGAAATAAACATCTCATTGAAATGAAGAAACCAGAGACATCTTTCTTTATTGAGATGTTCATAAATATAACATGATAATTTAAACTACTCAATATCCTACACCATAATAATGGCATTAGGATCTATGTTATCATACAGATATTAAAGAAGTATAATCCATACAAATGCTACTTGAATTTAGAGTTAACTCCCTTTTATTATGGGCATGAATCTGTCATGATTTGTCATAAATTCTTGTGTTTGGAAAATTGTAAGATAAATTTGTATTCATATTGATAAATTAGTTTGTTATTATTTCTGATCGGCTGAATAAAAAAACACTGCTTTTCACATAATTTTTTCAGCATTTAAATCTTTCATAGTTGGCAGATTTATACTGCAAATTTTAAAACAAAGAGACTTTAATCCCAGCAACATTACAACAACCGACAGTTACCTGCTCCTCTGGAAGTAGCCAAAAGATGACACTTCATAGGCCACAGCCATATCTTTAACCTTGGAGGACCCATCTTTGTATAACACTGTCAAGCTTAACAACTTCATGGCTGCTGAGTTTGTCCTCTGATCTAGGGTATGAACAAAACATGGCAAAAGGTGAAATTTACACAAAGTTAAACTTATTCACCTTGACAGCAGGACAGGTGAAAACACAATGGTTTGGTTAACCAATCAAATGCTACATGATCACTGATAATGTTATAGAGGAATATTCCATAAAAAATGGATAAAATCACAAAAATGTCTTGTCACCAGCCTAATCACTGATAATTCATAACCAGTTGATAACATACTAAAATATATTCAAGTGTAAATTTTCAACAGTAGAATGTGCATCTTCCTTTGAAAATGATAGTAGATTTAATAAAGTGAAAAACATTGTAAATTAACAGTATTTGGTAAATAGGCAGGTTGGTTATTACTCTTAATAATTTTAATCCCATTTCAATTTAGCCCAAACATGAAGAAATACCTTACATGACACTTGTAACAAAGGAGACAAGAATAATAATTCAAGAAAGTTGACCAGGAATGACAACTAGGGTAACAACTTTAGCTGACCTGGACATGAAGATGTCAACACACACTCACAATCAACAAAAGTTACTACCAGCAAAAACATTTTATAAACATATTGAGGACTAAAATACAAAAAATCCCATTTTCTTATCAAAATATGATAGTAAGATAGCATGACAACAGTCACTGTTATCTAAGTTCTATCATGTTGGCTGAGCCTGTTAACTAAGAGGACAAATCTGATTTTATTACACTGCATTGGTGGTTAAAAAGGACGTTTTGAATGTGGAAAATATTGTTGTTGCTGAACTGATGGTTGATGAGATGGTGAACAATTCCAATACATATGTGCATCCAAATCACACAACATTAGTTTTATCTCAAGTACCCGGGGCTGTAAGCGTTTTGTGGGAAAGGTGAGTTAAATATATTTTACAATGTACATACATCATACAGTTATGTCAAATGGTATTGTGATTTGTTTGTAAACTATATTGTACTGAAGTCCACAGAAAGGTTTCATGTACAAACCTTCTATTTGATTAAACATCGGATTATTGCAGCTCAATCATTGCCAGCTCAGTTCTTTGCCTTGTTTTTTAACTGGTGCTTTTTAAACATTTTATGTGGGAACATATCAAAGGACCATACAAACTAGCCCACTTTGGGAATACTGTACCCTCCAAGGCATACTGGTGTCATACTGAGAAAGAAACTTCTATTGCCAGATGAAAAAAAGCTGGGCTAATATGCTAATCCTATATGGCAACACTTGACGATGGCATCAAAATAGTATCATGAATAACTAGTTCTTGTTTACCTTGTGATTAGTGCTTAATCGTTTACCTTGGTGCACCTGCATAAAAGTAATATAATCTCAAAACTTGGGTGTGGTTATAGATATGTTCGCCACCTTATTTTGTAACCAGTTTACCAATAATCCTTTCCTCTAATAGTCAATAGTCTAACAGCGGTTCCAGCTGATATAAGCCATATGGATTCAATAGAGCTAATTAGTGCTAAGAAATACAGCGAATCTTTAGTAACAACTCACTTAAGTGTATTTACATATTCCATATGAAATCAACAAGTATCGCGGATATTCCCCAAATCCATGTTTATTATATTTTCATGTGAGAAAGCACTAAAACAGACAAAGATAACATAAATATTTGAGTTTCAGGGAATAAGTTACTACATACTGACTCAATGGATACAGGTCCATGTTAACTCAGTAAACAGTTCGACTTACATCACTTGAATCACTTGACTGTGACACTGACAGGCCTGTGGCAGAGGCAATACGCGTCGGCAAAACAAACAGGTAGAATCTTGTCGGACACGGAATCAAACAAAGTGAAGATCCTGACGGTTCAATAAATTCTAGGGTTGATTGTATTTGGTGATTGTGGTGAAAGTTTCGATAGGTCTCTATTTAGTATCTGCCACTAAACACAATTATTGTATCAAACAGAAGTGCCAAGTTGGTCGTGACTTAAACCGGATATGACGTCACATGAAGCAGAGGTATCCCCGTAGGGCGAGTTTCGTATTTTGTCATGTACTTCACACAGGGTTACACTTATACGCATTATACATGTGTTCAAGTCGTACTTCTTAATTGGAATACCTTAAAGCACCCGTGAAAGCCAAAACTATAGCATGACGTAAAGGCCATGTGTCAAATACTGAAAATAGAATATTATCTTATCTAGTGTCAGATGTGTGAAGAAATGTAAACAAAATATAATAATTAACAGCATTTCTGTATGTTAAATGTTTATTGAAATAGATTCACATTGAATTTAAAAGTCATAACAAGAACCCCTGTTCACCCATCAGCTCCTTTCAGTACTAAGTGTTTTTATAAGTACTTTTCCATAAGCTCTTAAAAGTGTGAAATCTTGGCACGTGTACATTCAGTTTTGAAGCAATGAACGATGTGTTCTGAATATATACTTTATATGTATGTTCATTTGGCTCAAGAACTTTTTCATATGCAGCAGCTTCTCTGTGGAACTCTCTCCCTATCGAGTTAAAATCATCTCCTTCCCTAGGTACATTCAAAACACGACTAAAGACTCATCTATTTCTCCGCTACAAGTGACTTCCAATCATCCGTACCTGCCAACTGTATATACATTGTAGTTTTAACTTGAGCTCAGGAAGCGCTTTGAGCATATCCCTGAGACGTGGAAAGGCGCTATATAAATGGCCTATTATTATTATGTATTTTCATTCTCAAATTAAATATAAATAATATACACACATTTTTTAGTAAATTTAAAAAAAACCTATATCGGTGGCTTACCGTTGATGCGTAGCAAGCACTTGTTTCTTTTGCTAGCAAAGTGTTAAACCTTTCTCATTTTGTGGTGCTTATTAAGATATATAAACATATAAAGAATGTAGTAGTAAACATTAACCAAATCTGTCAAAATCAACTGTGTAATGTTTCGAACAACGGAGAGAGTTCTATGGATATACAACTTCTTTATTATCCATAGAACTCTCTCCGATGCTCATCACAACAAAAGATGTTCTAAACGGGGCGGATACAGCTTTTTGAGAAAGTGGGGGTGCACACTCCATTTCACCCGTTTTCAATGGTCAATTAATAAACTTTCAGGACAGAAGGGTGGGGGGATGGCCGCACACACACGCACACACACACACACACACACACACGCGCGCGGATCCGCCCATGCCAAATGCCACTCAAAGAAGTTGTGTAGTGTTTTTATAATGTCTTCTGTGGGTATGTGACAAAACACATGCATTAAGCCAGCATGTTTTAGTGGAAACCTGATGACGACAGTAAACTTACCAGAGTTATGCCCCTTCTTCTTGTGACCGCACAATCATTTTCTGTTTCGATGTTATAAAGGATTTTAAAATTAGGGATATATGTTGTTCTTATCTCAGTATTTAATTAAACATAACGATATATGTGGATTTGACGTATCTATATACAAAGGGTATAACCTATTTTTTTCCATATTACCAGCTTGTAATTTGTCTGAACTAAAACAAGGAGATTAAGTGGTTAATAGGCCCTGCACTGTCTTGATAATTGCAAAACCTATGATTTGTATGGAGAAGCATGTACAATGTGTATTGTATGTACAAATTAAGTGACCCCCCGGAATGTCATGTACAAATTCAATTACCCCTATTTTTTAAGCATACCTTTTAAATGTTTTATATACAAAATCAATGACCCCCAACCCCCACCCCAACCCGTTGTACATGTGTACAAAATTGCTGACGCATTGCATCAAACATAACTATTCATTTATCGTCGGGCCATTGACCTACCCTTAAACATTATCACTTGTATTTGTGGAAATGAAAACAGTGTAGACTTTTGGATGTGAACCGCGCTGGAACATTCATTAAACAAGAACTGCGTTGTCCGAGCAGGACGCTGTTATATAGACAGGGATACATATGCATAGAGACCGCTTCCGGTCAGGTGGATAGAACCCGGATTGGTCAGTTCGATCCCCGGCCGCACCACACCAAAGAAGATGGTACTTGTTGTTGCCCTGTCTGGCGCAAGGGGTTAAGGGGGATAAAACAATTAGAACACCCACGTATACACATGGGATTGAGGCTCATGTAAGGAATACATAATTCAACCCCTTGTTCAGTGATACTGAAGCTGATTAAAATATATTTCTAGCAAAATGGTAGCAGTGATTATGACAAAAAGACCGTTGATGCTTTTGACCAATGCCCTCTTCTCCCCGAGACCCCAGGTTTGAATTAATCATAACAGGTGAAAAAATAGGTCGTGTACTGGCTGATTGCATGTCATTGTACTCCCAACGTAGACGTGTGCTCATGGTGTCAGTCATTGGATCGTGTGGTTCTGAAGCCATTATATACAGATCGCCGTCCCATACAGTTTGAACAGTGAGGTTGCCAACACACTTTTGGTTACGCCGGAATCTTGCATCTGGTAAGCATGACATTGGTAAAGTCGTATTTAGAGTATCCGCATATTGAAACCTCGACAAGAGTGCAGCTAAGTGTGCCGCAATATTATTTCAAAATTAATTGATTAATTCAACCAAACACAGATCCAAGGGTTCATGTAGAGAACATTTTGTACAACAATATTATAACAATCCATCCCATGATAAATTTGTCTCATTAATGTCAACAACATATTCTGTTCGTATGAAGAAGATATCATTGTTTTTCAAAAGAAATGCTTCATGTTAAGTAGTTTTGCATTGTAGATCAATATATCTTGCGCACTGTGTGATGATTTTGGTATCGATGGGCCAGGAGGCATCAAATGCACATTAAACTTGTCACTTGTCATTGTCACTAAATGCAAGAAGTTTCATCTATATGTTTCACATCGAATTTAGGAATCAAAATACAGAACAATTTAGATTTATCCATTTGTGACCAACATGCATTATGTGTTGAAAATCAGTCTCCTGTCTGCATTTTGGGACTACTACAGTTACGTTTTGAGGTGTCTGCAATTCAAGGGGTTTGCCTTTAGAGAGGTCTGCATTTCGAGAGTGCTGCGTTTTAAGAGGTCTTCGTTTTGGGAGAATACTGAGCCAAACACCTGCAACTAAAGCACGTACCATATACTCCTTTCTTGTCAGTTTTGAAAATATAATAGGACATATAACCTGATATCACGATCACATTTCAGTAAATTAATCGCGCATGAGAACTTGGCCGTCTAAATTATTTCGGATGAAACCCCGCATAGAGCCCATGGCAGGGCCGTGAACTGATAGCTTCGTTGCTAAAGCACAACAAACACGCCCATCTGTCCCAAAGACGCATCGCCTGACTATATTTTGAAGGTAAACCCAGTTACGCTCAGTCGATAGATGGCACTGCTGGGGTTATTTATAGCACTACGGCTTCCGCGTTCTAAGTTTAGCTCACGGCCCGTAGATTGTTAGCTGGATTGCTATGAGATGTACTGCCATGGACGTAGTGGTGTATTTTACATACCTGCTTTCTTTTCTCACCTATGTCCTGCCTGCTCAGGTCAGTATGATCTCTCTTCCAATACCGCAATGTGTGTACTTACTTCAGAACGCTACATTTGTCTAAAGCATTGTTGCGAGTACACTGTCAGCTGATGAGCCGGGGTTTCCCGACAATATTCAGCAAACATTCCAAAACTGGGACAAACTGACATAGGATGTAAGACCCGTAATTTGTAGATGAGAAATCGGATGAGGGATGCGTTTATGGCTGTTCCAAATACAACTTCCATTGTGCAATACAAACAGACAGTCAAACCTTCAGCTATCGGGACGCATGACAAAACATGTAGGAGAACGCTGTTTTTATGTGTGTGCATATCTCTATTGTTTACCACTGTTAAGTGACCTCATTTGTCTTCTTCACCCATGTAACCATGACTTAGTGAGAATCAGATTTAAACCATGAACACTTACAGATAACAAACTATTTAACGGAGCGAGCAATGTTAATGTCTTTGTGTTTCATAATGCATTAACTGACAGAGAAAGTATATATTGTTTGTATAAATGTAGACAGTTTTTTTTATGTGAGTGAAATAATTAAAATAGATGTTCATTGCATTTGCTTTCTACAGGCTGATGGAAGTTTCCTACAGTAGTGATTAACATAAGTCAATTTGACCTAATTCCTGCAGTCAGGCATGACCCTTTCAGAATAATAGCTCTCCTAAACAGAAACTAGAATCGGGATTCATCTTATAGAATAAAAGCGCATGGGAATTCATTGTTGATGTTTTTGAAGGCGTTCCTTTAAAATTTTGCCTTGTACAGACTGCCTTTCGCCAAATAGAAGTTGGGGCAATTGCACGGTCTATTTCACATAATGACATTTAGTTGTTGAATTATGCTGGATTTCATTTGTCCTCAATAGACATCATTACTCAGATAAGTGTATAGTGTATTTACACTTTGTGCACATAAAATTTGTGTCATGATAATAGGGTCCCAGTATTGTTCAGTTGGGACACACTTGTGATAGAGCCTTGATAAATAGGCTCCCAGTATTGTTCAGTTGGGACACATTTGTGATAGAGCCTTGATGAATAGGCTCTCAGTATTGTTCAGTTGGGACATATTTGTGACAGAGCCTTGATAAGTAGGCTCCCAGTATTGTTCAGTTAGGCCACATTTGTGACAGAGCCTTGATGAATAGGCTCTCAGTATTGTTCAGTTGGGCCACACTTGTGACAGAGCCTTGATGAATAGGCTCCCAGTATTGTTCAGTTGGGCCACATTTGTGATAGAGCCTTGATGAATAGGCTCTCAGTATTGTTCAGTTGGGCCACACTTGTGACAGAGCCTTGATAAATAGGCTCCCAGTATTGTTCAGTTGGGACACACTTGTGATAGAGCCTTGATGAATAGGCTGTCAGTATTGTTCAGTTGGGACATATTTGTGACAGAGCCTTGATAAGTAGGCTCCCAGTATTGTTCAGTTAGGCCACATTTGTGACAGAGCCTTGATGAATAGGCTCTCAGTA